TACAAAATTCAATACACAGAAAAAGGAAGGGGGGAAAGAAGGAATAATTGCTTTAGCACACAAGCAGCAAAGACATGAATGAGTTAATTACAAGGGTTAAAACAGCTTTAGATAATCCCATGTGAAAGCAATATGTGCAGTTTCATAGGGCATGGTGAGGACAGAGTGGTCGCAGCAACAAAAGCCAAAATCTGATGCCAAGTGAAGAATAAAACATGGATTTTCCCCTTTGGCTGTTCCATTGGAGTGGATGAGGGAGCCCACCCCTAACTGGTTCTTGAGAAATCTATTCCCCTGCTACAAAGACGACTGCAGCCTTATTCTGTCAGGGAAAGGATATGCAGCCATTTTGCTCAGTTACAAAAAGCTTGGGACACTGTACAGATCTAACTGATACCTTGTGCTAGGACTTCTAAAGATTAACAAAGAATTGGGTACCATTTATAATCAGAAACTGGACCATTCTCAGGAAAAAAAAGAATAGTGCAGGTGAACGAGCAAACTGCTACAAAGAAAAATGCCAAGACTGCATAGTGGGGACCAGTGTTCCCTCTAAGCTGAGTTAGTGTGAGCCAGCTCACAGTTTTTTAGCCTCTGGCTCGCAATTTTTTTTCTCCGCTCAGGAAGGAGGGCTCCAGAGCAAACTAATTTCTGCAGCAGCCAAATCGCTCGCTCACAACTTTAACGCCAGCAGCTCACCAAGTAGAATTTTTGCTCACAAGACTCCACAGCTTAGAGGGAGCATTGGTGGGGACAACCTAAGATACAGACTATCCTGACGGGCATCATGACAGGGAACAGGAAATCATTGCAACCCTTTGCCATATTAGTAGAGCAAACAGCGCTTGATCAAAGCAACAGGCAGCCCCAGAAGATATTGTGTAATTAATGCATTTTCATGGGAATCTCTTGCTAAAAGAACTCAGCCCATACTTGTGTCAGACAATGACCACAATTCCTGCTTTACAAAAATGTTCTACAGAATCTGTCTCAGCAACATATTGTGTATCCCTCCCAGCAAGTGTGTACAGGGGTGGCCTAAGGAATTGTGAAAGTACAAATCTACTCACACCCAAATCCTGAGATGCCCCTCTGGTCCAATAGCAGCACCAAAAGGCTTTAAAAGATGGCTTTTAAAAGGAGCTGAGACAGATTCATGGAGAAGAGATCCATCAATGGCTACTAGCCATGGTGGCTAAAGGAAACATCCATGATCAGTGGCAGCAAAATTCTGAATCCCAGAGCCAGGAGGCAGCATCAGGAGAAGGCCACAGCCTCTATGTCCTGTTTGCATGACCCTCCAAGGTAACTGGTTGGCCACTCTGTGAAACAGGATGCTGACCTAGATGGACCTCTGGTCTGATCCAGCAAGATCTACTTATGATCTTAACTGTCATTCGAACCCACCAGAAAAGATGCTGAAGAGTCTGTTGGACTTGATGGGGCCCAGAATTTGATGCACGACCACTTAAAGGTAAAGGTAAAGGTTCCCTTGCTCGAAAGCCAGTCAAGTCCGACTCTAGTGTTGCGGTGCTCATCTCCGTTTCAAAGCCGAAGAGCCAGCGCTGTCCAAAGATGTTTCCGTGGTCATGCGGCCAGCATGACTAAACACCAAGGCGCACAGAACGCTGTTACCTTCCCACCAAAGTGGTACCTATTTATCTACTTGCAATTTCTTGCTTTCATACTGCTAGGTTGGCAGGAGCTGGAACTAGAGACGGGAGCTCACTCCGTCATGCAGCAACTCGGGTCTTGAACTGCTGAACTACCGACCTTCCACAGCCTGCAGTTCAGCATCTTAACCACTTGAGCCACTGCAGACCACTTAGTAATTTCATAATAGAGGCAGTACCTGAATCTAGGGGGTACGAGTATCACAGTTTCATCACTAAGTCACTCTGCTTTGCTAACTCTGATGGATTACAATTTGGGAAGTTGCAGACTATAACTGTTTGTTGGTTGATGAATGTTACACTCTAAAGTAATCTAAGTTCTATTTAGCTGCTATGGGTATGTAGTGGTCAAAAAAGTTTTGCATTAGTAAAATGCAAACTCCATAGAAGGAAGGTGGGCTAATTAAAATAAAATAAAATAAACATACTTTAATATACAACATCCATTCATCACATTACCATCCCACCCTTCCTCCAAGGAGTTCTGCGAAACAAAGGCCCTGGTCACACGGGCCGGATATTGCGGGGGGGGGAGGCGTGGCTATTTGCCACGGGACAAAATAACGCGTGGTTGCACGATCAGATGTCCCGTGGAGGTCCCGTGGGTAGGGGGGAGGTGCCGATCACAGGACAATCCTATGGCGCGGCAAAGAAGCGGCATGGTGCGGCAAACGGGTTTGTTTTTTTCTGTACACCAAAGTATGTGCATGCTCCGTTGGGTGCTTGTGCGCATCCATGGAGACTTGGGGGGAAAAAACCTTTTTGCAAGGGGACATGGGCGGGTGCCAGATGCCACCAGAAACGCAATCAAGCTCGCCCTTGCCCCGCGGTTACCGGAAACTAGTACCTCGGAGGTACTAGTTTTTTACCCCGCATCTTCGGCGGGAAGCCTCGGGTGAGCCACGGGAGCTCTACGCTTCCCAGACGTGGCGGTGAGATCGCGCCCGGAAAATCCGCCTATCTTCCGTCTGTCTAGCGTGGCTAATGTTCCGTGTGGCCACAGCCATAAATGATTTCCTGCTCATTTTAATCCTCACATCTATCCTGTGAGGTACACTGAGTTGAAAGAGTGTGACTGGTCAAAGGTCACCAAGCAAGCTTCATGGGAAAGATGGGGAATTGCTGCTAGGTCTTCTAGAGTCACAGTCCAGTATGATGCCATAACTAGAGCATCCGACTGGGATCTGGCAGAGGCAGGTTCAAACCCCCACTCTACCAGGAAGCCTTCTAGATTACCCTGGGCCAGTCATCCCTTCTCAGCCCTACCGACCACATAACAGTCATTATAGAAATAAAATGGAATAGGGGAGAATTCCACTGAGCCCTGAAACTCACTGTGTGACACTGGACCAGTCACTTTCTCTCTCACCGTGTGTTACAGGTGCCCCTTTTGGGGAGACATGACAACTCTTGACTTACAGCAACTATGCAATGGTTGCTGCCCAGTTACAAAACTTCATACAAATGTGAGCTCATGGGATAGGCTGTAAATAAACAAAAAACAAAACTCAGCTAGTCTTTTGACCATCCAAAAAGGGTGAGAATCCTTTGATTTGATTAGTCTCCTAACAGAAAAACAAAAAGGATCAGAGCAATTTATCCTTCTTAATATTTTATTTAAAAATTAAACAAAATAAAATGGCAAGATAAGGAACAAATATGAACAAGCCTGGTTAAGTCATAGCAGTCTCGCTGGCATCATTTCAGGCTCTCTGTCCCACTCTGGAGAGGGGACAGTCCCTTTTTCTAAGCAAGAGTTGTTTTGGCTTCCAAACTGGCAAAACAATTTTGAGCAGCAAGGTCAGTTCTCACAAAAGAGCATCCTGATCATTACACATTACACAGATATCTTTTTTTTTTTTAATGTAGGCATAGTCCACAAGGTCAAATCAAACCGAAAGCTAAAGTGGTCTATCAGAGGGCAAGCTGGAAATCTTTTAAGGCCTAAATAGGCTAAGGCAGCTTAACTATCACAAAAAGAACAATGGCCCCGGTTAACTTTGCCGTGTGACCAGGGCCAATGTATGCTTTTCAGGGTTCCTTGGAGAAAGTGCAGTTAAAAAATACATCATTTATCAAGTTAATTTATTTTATCAAACATTTCACCCAACAAGAAACAATTTCACTTTGATTCATATGGAATTCTGAGCGGCATATAAACTGTAAATAAAATTACAGAGCAAGTCCCCAGTGTTAACTTGATTACTAAAACAAAATCCTGTGCCTTAATAATTTCAGAGTCATAGATGTGCTATAGAAATTAGACATGCTAACCCTCCTCAAGGGTGGCCCAAAGGGCCTTTAGCTGCACTTTTGAGAAAACTAAATAACTAGGAAAACATACCTCCTCCATCATCCAGGATTCCTGGATGAATATAATGTCAAATGCAGATAAAAATATCCCAGTGTTTTCACAAGTAGCCTTGGAAGACCAGCCTGCCATGTTCCCACATAATATCTTTAATTGGGGGAGATCATCAAGCCGAACACTAAATGGTTAAGACAGCACTGGGATTAACATTGCCATTTATATAGCAAATTATAATGGTAGGTTCCAAGATCAATGATCAAATTACTGTCTGTCACCCCTACATAGTGCTTGGGCCTCAGCAACAATGCCCTCCTTGTCAGAACACTCCAGAACAGGTATACTCAGAACCCTATTCAATGGGGCTTGGTCCCAGGAAAGCATTCTTAGAACGACACTTGAGGTTTCTGTCTCTGGCTCAGGAAATTGCTGGAGATTTGGGGGTGACGACTGGGGAGAGCAGAGCTTGGGGATCTCACTGAGGATGCAATTTCCAAGGGTCCATCCTCCAAAACTGGCATTTCCTCCAGGGAAGCTGATCACTGCAGTCTGGAGAGCAGCTGTAATTCTGAGAGCACTCCTGTCCCGGCCCAACTGGAGTTTAGCAACCCGGCATTCCAAGATTCTTAAAATCCTGTTTTAGGTCTCTTTAATGGCTTTTAAATTCCTCTCAGCCACTTCCAGCTGGCACCAATTCATTATTCGGAGCTAATTTCTGTCTGGGGGGAAAACCCAGAACCAATAAACTACAGATCCCCATTCGGGCACGTCGACCTAAAAGAGCTGCTCTCCTCCTTAGGGCTGTAAGGATAAGAACATAAGAGACGCCAATGTTGGATCAGGCCAAAGGCCCATCCAGTCCAACACTCTGTATCACACAGCGGCCAGAAATACCAGGTGCCATCAGGAGGTCCACCAGCGGGGCCAGGACATTAGACTCCGAAGGGAGTCGGTGAGGGAAGGCAAGGAAAGCAAAGGGGAGAGTGACGAAGCGCCGCTAAAGCACGAGCGTCTCTTACCCTGATCTGTCCGCCTCGTTCCTCGCCTGTAGAGCTGTCACGTCAACGGCGCGCCGATAACCCGCCGCCCTCTCTGATTGGAGGAGAGGCCGGGTTCTCCCAGGAGCCCCTGCGGCCGCGCGACGAAGGCTCGGGCTCTCGCCACGCCCCCTTTCAACTTGATTGAGAAGCTGAACAAAAGAGAGAGAAAGACTGAGCCAGCTGGAATTTCTCTTCCGGAGGTGGGGAGGTTGGTTGGTTGGTTGGTTATGGAGGGAGGGCGGACTTCCTCGCTGCTTCTTTCAGCCTGTGGGAGAAATGAGAAGCTACAGAAGGAATGTCTCTCACACACAGTGCAGATAGGAGATTTCACAAAAAAAAGGGGGGGGGGTTGTCTGTTTTTTAAAAAAATCTCACTATTTTAGGAAAACACCTGTGTCTGTCTGACCCACCCGTTGTAGACGTTGAGTAGCTTTGCATAATAATAAATGGAATCTGTATTTCTTTCCTGGTTAAATTTTAAATTGTCATAATTACATTTCACTCTGCTTCCTGCATTTCATGGCTTCTTGCCCTGCTGTTTTCTTTTTGTATAGAGAGAATGCTGCCATTGCATCCCCAGTGGCTTTTAGAGCCAGTGTTACCTAGTGGTTAGAGTGTCCAACCAGGATCTGGGGGACCCAGGTTCAAATCACCAGTCTGCCGTGAAAGCTGACTGGGTGACCTTGGGCCAGTCATTCTCTCTCAGCCTAACCTACCTCACAGGTTTGTTGTGAGGATTAAATGGAAGAGAGGGTTGTTTGGGTCCCCACTGGGGAGAAAGGTGGGGTATAAATGAAATAAAGTTTCAGTTGGAATAAAAGTTGGTGGCTTCATAGCACTACATTTTTAAAAATTCATGAAACACCGAACCTTATTATTTATTTATTTCAATTTGTATCCGGCCTTGCTGGGCGAACTGGCTCAAGGTGGTGAACAGACATTAAAATGCAATAAAACAATAAAATACACAAAACAAACCTACATACTTTGTTGGTCTTCAAGGTGCCACTGGACTCAAACTTTGTTCTGCTGCTTCAGACCAACACAGCTACCCCACCTGGATCTATCTACAATGACATGGATGTATCAGTGTTCCCTCACACTGAGCTAGCTCACAGTTTTTAGCCTCCGGTACACACTCTTAGCTCAGGAAGGATGACTCCAGAGCAAACTATGCAGTAGCCAAATCCCGCACTCACAACTTTCATGCCACTTGCCAGTAACTAACAAAGGTCCCGGTCACACGGGCAGGAAACTGCGGGGGGGAAGTGTGGCAGTTTGCCCCGGGGCAAACTAAGGCGCGGTTACCTGATCAGACCTCCCGTGGAGGTACTGTGGAGGTTCCGTGGGAAAGGAGAGGTGCCGATCGCAGAACAATCCCGCGCGCAAAAACGAAGTGCGCGGTGCGGCAAACTGGAAGGGGTTTTTTTGTTTCCACCATGATTGCGCATGCTCCGTTGTGTGCTTTTGCGCATCCACAAAGACTAGAAGAAAAAAAAAACTTATTCGCCAGGGAACATGGGCGGGCGCCGGATGCCACCGGAAACGCGATCAGACGCCCGCCCTTGCCCCGCGGTTTCCGGAAACTAGTACCTCGGAGGTACTAGTTTTTTGCCGCGTGGTTTCGGCAGGAAGCCTCGTTTGAGCCACGGGAGTGCTACACTTCCCAGATGTGCCGGTGAGATCGCGCCCGGAAAACCCGCATGTCTTCCGTCTGACTCGCATGGCTAATGTTCCGTGTGACCGCAGCCAAAGTAGAATTTTTGCTCACAAGACTCCACAGCTTAGAGGGAGCATTGGGATGTATTACTCTTAAACATCTGCTACTGCTACAGACAGATTAACATGGCTACCCATCTTGATACATCTGCATAATGACATTCCATACCAAGGGCTTCCAACAGTGCCACTGTATGCAGTCCCAATGTATTTGAAAAAGTGTGCATGCACACAAAAGCTCATACCTTGAATAAAACTTTGCTGGTCTTAAAAGTGCCACTGAACTCTAAGTTTGTTCTACTGTATGCAGAGTTAAACCCTGGACTTGGGGCGGTGCAACTCTGCTTAGGATGGCACTGCACATATTATCTGGTTGAATAGCACCAGCTTTTTAATACCCTGTCGATGATGTTAGAATAAAACTTCGGGGTGTTTCCACCCGCCATGTCCCTCTAGTCAGGCTCCACTCATAGCATCTGAAGAAGTGTACCCCAGTCCATGACAGTTTATGCTGGAATAAAATCGTGTTTATGCTGGAATAAAATTGTGTTCTTCCTTCAGTCCACTCCTCTCTAAAATCCGGGTGTGCGTGTGTGCTGGTGCTTTAACTGCGGAAACCACACAAGCAGGATGCTTCATGCCTGCAAGTAAGAGGGGAGGCTTGTCAGAACGAGAAGGGGAGCGAACGGGCTGCTCGGTGCATCGGCTGCAGGTCCTCCCAGGTCGCTGGGGGGCGAGAGAGGGGAGACGAGCCGCGCCTGCTTTTGCTCTGCCTTCCCGGGCTCCAGCCGGGCTCGCTCCGCCCCTCGTCTGGCATTGCCGATCCGGGAAGGCGGCCGCGGCCATGCCTTACGCCAACCAGCCCACGGTGCGCATCACCGAGCTCAGCGACGAGAATGTCAAGTTCATCATCGAAAACACCGACCTAGCGTGAGCACCGGGCGAGGGTTGGGGGGGGAGATTCCCAACGGCCTTCAGGGGATAGGTGTAGATCAGATTCCCGTTGTGAGGGCTCTTTAGTGAAATATTTTCAGAGAGCCAGACTGATAGAGCGGTTAGGTTGCCCGACTGAGATGAGGCAGACCTGGGTTCAGATCCCTACTCCGTCATGGAAGCTGGCTGACGGAGCTTGGGCCAATCGGATGCTCTCAGCCTAACCTACCTAACAGGGTTGTTGTGAAGATAAAATGGAAGAGGGGGAGACGGTGTATGCTGCTTGGAGGTCCTTGGGGAGCAGGTTGGGGTGGAAATGTGCTAAATACATCCTGTCGGTAGGGCGAGGAACAAATTGAAACATGCCTGAACTGCATTTCACATTTGTAATATGAGCATTTTTTAAAAACAAAATGCAGTGCCTATTATTGTGAGTCTTTGTTTGCTTGCTGTCTTCCAGGGTTGCAAATTCTATCCGGAGGGTGTTCATAGCTGAAGTTCCTACTATAGGTATTTTCCCATTCATTCAGTAGTCTCTGATTTTCCCATTGGCTTGTGAAGATAGCTGCTATGCATAAATTCCAGTACATGTCACTACCCTACGCACACACAGCCTTCGATTTTTTTCTTGGAATGTCCCTCTTCTCAGTCCCTCTAGATAAGTACAGTGATTGATCGTTATCATACCTTTCCTCTCTGTATCCAAGGAAGCACTAGCACAAATGACTGGTTCTTCTGTGTCCCTGAGCCCATAGTGGTACAAAGAAGGCTGGGTGTAGTGCGCGCACACACACACACACCTCTCCAAGTTCTTTCCCTCCCCCCTCCAGAGCTGGTGTTGCCCTTCTTCCTTTTACTTTGGTTAGGCATGGGTGTTTGGAGTTCCTTCAGAATTCTGCTCTTTGTTGTCTTTTTCTCACACATCTCAGGATCTTTTAACCACCATTTCGTTCTGCATGTACTTTTTCAGGAAAAAACCCATGCTTTTGAAAAAAGATAATTTCAGATACTTTCAGGTGGGTCACCATGTTAGTCTACCATAGTGGAATAAAATTTAAGCCCAGTAGTGCCTGAGAGACATTTTGGTTTGTGAAGACCACTACTATGCATAAATACCAGTCTATGTTAGTATGGCACACAATCAGTGTTCCCTCTAAGCTGAGTTAGTGTGAGCTAGCTCACAGTTTTTTAGACTCCGGCTCACACATTTTTGTCTCAGCTCAGGAAAGATGGCTCCAGAGCAAACTAATTTATGCAGCAGCCAAATCACCTGCTCACAACTTTAATGCCAGTAGCTCACAAAGTTGAATTTTGGCTCACAGGACTCCATAGCTTAGAGGGAGCATTGCACACAATCCTTGGGAAATGTTTGAAAACCAGAATTTTGTTGGCCTCTAAGGTACTATGGTAGGAGCTGCGGTGGCTCAAGTGGTTAAGACGCTGAACTGAAGGTCAGTAGTTCAGCAGTTCAAGACCCGGGTGCCGCAAGACGGAGTGAGCTCCCGTCTCTAGTTCCAGCTCCTGCCAACCTAGCAGTTCGAAAGCAAGAAATTGCAAATAGATAAATAGGGACCACTTTGGTGGGAAGGTAACAGCGTTCCGTGCGCCTTGGTGTTTAGTCATGCCGGCCACATGACCACGGAAACGTCTTTGGACAGCGCTGGCTCTTCGGCTTTGAAATGGAGATGAGCACCGCAACCCTAGAGTCGGATTCGACTGTCTTTCGAGCAAGGGAACCTTTACCTTTTAAGGTACTATGGTACTTGAATTTTCTCTGCTTCTACAGACATTACCCCAGGCTAGCCTGATCTTGGAAGCCAAACTGGGCTGACCCTGGCTAGTACTTGGACGGGAGACCTTCCACGAGTACCAAGGTCATGATGCGAAGGCAGACAATGGCAAACCACCTCTGAACATCTCTTGCCTTGAAAACCCTATTGGGTCACCATGTCAGCTGTGACTTGACGGCAAAACACAGACACACACAAAGACTGTTGTTGTTGTTCAGTCGTACAGTGGAGCCCGACTTTGTGACCCCATGGACCAGATCACGCCAGGCCTCTGGTCTTCCGCCGTCCTCTGACGTTTGCTCAACTTCATGTTCGTTGCATCTATTACACTGTCTAACCATCTCATCCTTTGCCGTCCCCGTCTTCTTTGACCTTCAATCTTTCCCAGCAATCAGGGTCTTCTCCAGTGAGTGCTCCCTTCTCATTTGGACACAAACACTACAGGCTTTTTTTTTTTTTAAGTAAGATGACACAGCCTCAGCTTCTGGTTCAAAACGGAAAGCCTCTCCTATAGCCGTGAGGCACCATGGAGGTAGATGGGAGTTGGCACTCTGGCTCTGCATCTCTATGGTGTAAATTCTGTATGTCTGGTGTTGGTGGCCAGTGAGTTTAGTGTTGTACAAGGAGAGTCGATTGGGATTATCGTCCCATTAGTTTAGACCAAGGATCCCTGAACCTCTTGACCCCGTTGACATTACTGGGATTTTGAGAACAAGGAGGGGGGCATCACTGCAAAATAGCTGCCGTGGGGCCAATCACAAAATGTTGGTCAGTTCCAAGCCAGACATCTTCCCATGATGGAGGCAGCTGCTTCTGAAATGGGTGTTCCCTGCAGACAGAAGAGTGATGCCTCTTAGGCTTTTCCAAAGCACTTCTGACTCCGGTGAGGTGGCAGAAAGGCAACTCTGGGCCTTTGCTTTACGTCGGAAGAGTGTGTCCTGACCTGGGGGGCCCAGACTAGCCTGATCATGTCAGATCCCAGAAGCGAAGTGGAGTCGGCCCTGGTTAGTACCTGGAAGGAAGACCGCGAGGGAAGTCCAGGGTTGCTATGCAGAGGCAGGCAATGGGAAGCCACCTCCATTTGTCTCTTCTGTTGAAAACCCTGTAAGGGGGTGTCATAAGTCAGCTGTGGTTTGATGGCACTTTCCGCCACCACCAGAAGAGTGAGGGTTCCAGAGAGCGCATCAGCAGGTGCTGGGGAACCCCTGATTTGCACAGTGAGGATTCACTGGCTTAAACGAAGGAAGTAGAGTACAGTCATTTAGAACTGTCAAAATCTATCACCTGCAGGGCATCAGGGACTGTGACCTCATCAGGAGGTAAGAGCCGAGGTGAAACAAGAAGCTGTCCACAATGTGTGGTTTGCAGGCCAAGGATAAGCTATCTGTTTTTTTCATTCTTAATGACTTAGATCTCTTTGATTAGAGAACGAAATATGCATACATGCCGCTGTTCCTTAGAAAAGTTGCATTTGTATTTTAGCAAAAGAACATATTCTGTGCCCAGCTTTATTTGCCACAAAATCTCAGAAGACTCCTAGAGATTATAGTTCTCCAAAAGAAAGTCACGGTTCTCAAAGTTTCTTAGGAAAAGCTGTGACAAGGGAACCAGTCTAGGCTTGCAATGCAAATGTGGCCTTGGGATCCACATCCTCTTGACACCTTAGAGCAAAATACACGTTTCGTTTCTCCTTGGCAGTCTTTTTACTCTCGGTTCATTCGCAGCCATCGACTGGGTCCAGATAGATGCCAACTCCTCAGTGCTCCACGACGAGTTCATCGCGCACCGATTGGGTGAGTTCCTCAGCAGCTTGAGGTCTGTGAGGCTTCCCTAGATTTTCATTGAGTTCTTTTAAATCCCAGATCAAGCCATGTTGCAGAACGTTTGAGCAGACTCGTTTGCTCTAGCCTGAAATTTCTAACACCAAACTCTTGAATTGTGGTCGTGTCGCCCTACCTGTCGATCAAGTCATTTTCATTATTTTCTCTTTTGCACCTCAGGTCTGATCCCCCTCACCAGCGATGATGTTGTTGATAAGCTTCAGTACTCCAGGGTGAGTGGAGGGCACTGGGCAGCCACTCAGTTTCTCGGAGGACTGCTTTGAGATCTGAAGGGCCAAGGCCCCCTGCTGCAGTCCTTCTGTGGTGGCTTCCTGGCACATTCTTTTGCCAGAGGTGCCACTCCCTTGTATCTTTTCAGTTGGCTACTGGGGGGGGAGCCAAACAGGGTTCCGTAGAAAGTGGGACTGAGCCCAAGGATCACTACATGCTAACAACTCTTGCAGAGATTTTATAGCAGCCTAAATAGCCCTGATGGAGCTGCGGTAGCTCAAGTGGTTAAGACGCTGAACTGCAGGCTGTGGAAGGTTGGTAGTTCAGCAGTTCGAGACCCGGGTGTGCCACATGACGGAGTGAGCTCCCGTCTCTAGTTCCAGCTCCTGCCAACCTAGCAGTTTGAAAGCAAGAAATTGCAAGTAGATAAATAGGTACCACTTCGGTGGGAAGGTAACAGCGTTCCGTGCGCCTTGGTTTTAGTCATGCCGGCCACATGACCACGGAAACGTCTTCGGACAGCACTGGCTCTTCAGCTTTGAAACGGAGACGAGCACCGCAACCCTAGAGTCGGACTCGACTGGCTTTCGAGCAAGGGAACCTTTACCTTTAAATAGCCCTGACTGGCCCAATCACATCAGAGCTTGGAAGCTAAGCAGAGTTGGCAACGGTTAGCCCTTGGGTGGGAGACCACCGAGGAAGACTGGGGCCGCTATGCAGAGGAAGACAATGACAAACCACCTCTGCTCATCTCTTGCCTTGAAAGCACCATGGCCTTTGGGTCGCCGTGAGTCAGTTACGATTTGATGGCGCACCATTATTATTAGTACTGAGATTCTTCTGGTTCTCATGGAAGGATACCAACAGCGACCTTCATTGAATGAGAAGTTCCAGTTGTCCTACACCATCCTCTTTCTCCTCCTTTCCCCCTAGGACTGCACCTGCGATGAGTTTTGCCCTGAGTGCTCGGTGGAGTTCACCCTTGACGTCCGATGTAACGAAGACCAGACCCGCCATGTTACGTCCCGGGACCTCATCTCCAACAATCCTCGGGTTATACCAGTCAGTACAACATTTTCTGCTCTCTTTGGATACGGCCTCTTGATCCTGTCCTCCAAACAGACATTACTAAGGCTCCAGCCAAGAGCAGTTGTTGGCTTTCCAAAGCATTGTGAGATTTAGAATGTTCTTTGTGATCAGAAGCTCCCTTGCGCAAGTCTCTCTTGTGGCATCTGGGCAACAGAAAGGAAGCAGGTTCATCCATCCTTAAGGTGGAAAGTCCAAGAGGCATGGAGTCCAAAGGCCTCGGTGGTGTGAATATTGTAAATCTGAATAAATAAGAGATGTCCAGCTACAACTAGCCCCATAGCCTCAGCAACTTTCAAAGCAACAGATTTATCTGATGCTTGAATGGAGCAGATTGCAAGTGTCTCCTTTCATAGGCAAGGGGAATTTGGGTGGTGGTGGCTTAGTTTGGTGCATTGAATCAGTTTCTCTATTTTTCAGTTTTAAGATTCTAGAAGACAGGGTCCATCTTACATTTGGAACTGCACAGCAGACAAAAAAGTTATTAGGATCCAGCTGTACTTTCACACCATAGAGCAGCGTCTTAAAAAACACTGGAGAAAATTAACTTTGCTCCTCTTTATTTAGCCAGAATCAGACATTTAAGTGGGATGGTAGTAGGGACAAGCAGGGACCCACAAGAAATTCACAGGGAGAGGAGATCCCACTCACCTGTATCGGACCCTACCCTGCTGCTTATTTCTGCTCCACCTACCCTTCTCCTTCTTCCTTCCCACTGCCCCTTTCAATACTACCACCTCTCTCCTCTTACTGCTTATGTTTTCCTTTCTTTGTTGCCACCTTTGCTCACTAGCTCTCTTGTCTCTTCTTCCTTCATTGCCTCTTTCACTCACTCACTTAACCACTGCCACCACCCTTTTCCTGTTCACTTGCTTGCTCATTGCTTTTGCTGTCACCTTGCTTTCCATTGTTTGTAGGGTTGCCCGGTCTGGGTTGGAAAATACCTGGAGACTTTGGGGGTGGATCCGGGAGAGGGTGCTGTTTGGGGAGGGGAGGGGCCTCAGCATGGTACAATGCCATAGAGCCCACCCTTCAAAGCAGCCATTTTCTCCAGGGGAGCTTATCTCTGTCAGCTGGAGATCAGTTGTAAAAGCGGGAGATCTCCAGGCCCCACCTGGAGACTGGCCCAATGTTCCCTCTAAGCTGTGGAGTCCTGTGAGCAAAAATTCTACTTTGTGAGCTGCTGGCATTAAAGTTGTGTGAGCGATTTGGCTACTGCATACATTAATTTGCTCTGGAGCCATCCTTTCTGAGCGAAGACAAAAATGTGTGAGCCGGAGGCTAAAAAACTGTGAGCTAGCTCACACTAACTCATCTTAGAGGGAACACTGCTGGCAACCCTAATTGTTTGCCCAGTTTCTGCTGATACCTTCTTTGGTTGTCTTTCTCGCTGCCCCACACTTGTTGGGGAAATCCCCCATGTCTGTACATGGCCCCATTTTGTGGATTTTTTTGATCATGCCGTTATGGAACTGTGTTCTAAACTAGATATGATAGTTCTCCGTAATGGATTCCAAAAAGTGATTATTAGAAGGTGTATTGCAGTGCTCGTTGTTCAAGACTTCATTCTGATCCAGCTCTCTTTGCAAGCATTCTGTAAGTGAGGGCCATGGATTCTATGTTCATGAAGCATTTCACACTGACTTCCTTTGCTTGCACAGGTGACATCCCGCAGCAGAGACAATGACCCCAATGACTATGTTGAGCAGGATGGTACGTACCTAGTGGAATCAGATCTGCAAGGATGGCCTTTTTGTTCTTAGGTTTGGTTGGTGGGGTCTTCTGATGGAATAGCAGGGAGTGACGAATGCAGTCTAATTTAAAATATTATTTGACCTAACCAGACATTGTTCAGATACTGCCTAACCCTCTCTGATGTTTGGAAAGCAAAATATAAATATAATAGTTTAATTCCACACTCCCCAACAAAAATGGGTGTAGAAGCTGAGCTGAGGTTTCACACTTGAAATGTAGAATAACATCCCAAACATGCACAACTGCTTTCATCCCAGTCTCTCCATCCTTAATGGAAAGATCCCATTAGTATATATGTTGCATTTTCCTTCGCTCATCTTTGTAAGCGATGACAGCGGTCAAGCCAGTATTTCAATTTGACATGTAAAACTGGGCCCTGAACATGATTGCTTGCTTGTGGCATGCTGAGTCCATTGAGAAATCCCAGTGGAATCTGACAGAATGCCCTGTGGTCTAGCTGAAACATCAGGCTCAGCACCAGTTGGCAGCTTTTGGGTGTCTTTGGTCCAAAATGCATCAGAAGTGGCAGAGTACATGCTTTTGCATGTAGAAGGACCCAGGTTTCATCTCTGATATCACCCGTTAAAAGGATCTTGGATGGCAGAGCTTGGAAAAAACTCGTCTCTGAATTGTTTGAGAGCTGCTGCTAGTTGTGGGCTAGATGACTCAATTCTCAGACACAGGATAAGAATTTCATATACCCACAGTGATACAGGAGTACTCACGTCTCCTGTTCTGGCAGATTATCAGCTGGTTCTTCAAGGAGCCCTCTGATGATGCATTTAAGGTGAGAGTTCCCTCTAAACAGGTGGGATTGAACTCCCAGGTCCGGAATGTCACTAATGTATGTGTTTTCTTTAGATATCCTCATTGTCAAGCTACGCAAAGGCCAGGAGCTGAGGCTGCGGGCCTACGCCAAGAAGGGGTTTGGCAAAGAGCATGCCAAATGGAACCCCACAGCAGGCGTGGCCTTTGAGTATGACCCAGACAATGCCTTGCGGCACACGGTGTACCCAAAGCCAGAGGAATGGTGGGTTTCCAGAAATACATCATTTTAAGTTTTGCCTCCTGAAGGGAGCCATTCGGGATGCCTTGTTTACATGCGTGTAAACGTGGGTTGACAGCAGTGTTCCCTCTAAGCTGAGTTAGCATGAGCTAGCTTACAGTCTTTTAGCCTCCGGCTCACAGATTCTTCTCTTAACTCAGGGAGGACGGCTCCAGAGCGAATTAATTTATGCAGCAGCCAAATTGCTCGCTCACAATTTTAATGCCAGTAGCTCACAAAGTAGAATTTTTGCTCACAAAACTCCACAGATTAGAGGGAACATTGGTTGACAGCTGTTTGTCAGCAGGATACTGCCCCAGATGTTCATACCCAGTGGCCAGTCTGCTTTTCCCCTCTCTTCCATACTTTCTAAAAGGGCTCTGAAGAAGGAGAGGAGAGGCTGGGGCACGTGGACTAGAGACAGCAGTCCCCTTGGGCTGTTGTGCCCTGATCTGTCATCGTCCCCACCCACCCACCTTCCCTCTAGGCCACCTGCTTTCCCCACCCCAATAAAAGCACAACAATCTGCTTTTGAAGTCAAGCCTGGTCTAGACAGCGTACTAGCCACAGGGTGTTTTGTGGTGACCTGTTTGTTCATTTGTAAATGTTGCTGTGGATCCTTATTGTAACTTAAGTAGCTCTTGCTGCAACGGTTGGAGGAAGTCTTCGGACTTTGTTCAGTGGAACGTTCGGATGGTGGTAGGATCCCATGCCCTAATTAAATACATTTGGCCTACCACCTCAAGAATCCGCTTCAAGGATTCTGTGATGATTTGGTATGATATGTTTATTTCCCCCCCCCTCCCCCCGGCGTTCTGAACGCTTGTGTTCTCATGTGGAACAAGGCAGCCATCTCTGTCTCTCTGTCGTTCCCCTTCAAGGTACTAGCTTTGGATGTAGCTTCTACAGATCACCTTGGTTAGCAGGTAACTCAAGGGACAAATTATTATTTGTCAAAACAGGATGGAAGTGTGGTGTCCAGGGGAAGGAGAAAGGGGAGGGGTTCGTGGCTCAGTGGTAGAGCATCTGCTTGGTATGCAGAAGGTCCCAGGCTCAATCTCCGGCATCATAATTTAAGAAATAAAATTGCAGGTGAGGTGAAAGACCTCTGCCTGCAACCATGGGAAGCTGCTGCCGGTCTGAGTAGACAATGCTGACTTTGACAAACAGTCTAGTTCAGTATAAGGCAGCTTCACATGCATGTGGAGTGCATAAGCCTGAGGCATATTCACATGGCACCAGAACATGGTTAGACATCAGGGCTGAAATCGCCTTACTGAATGCTGAACTGTAGTTTTGGCATATTTAGAAATCTAAATGTTCCATCCTTTGTGTGAGTGGGAAGTTATTGCGTGAAGCCTCACTTGCCTGTTTGATCCTAGGCCAAAGAGTGAGTATTCTGAAATTGATGAAGATGAGGCTCAAGCTCCTTATGATCCCAGTGGGAAACCAGAAAGGTGAGGAGTTGGGTAACTGCAGTGGTACGAGGGGAGTGACATGAATGTTCATCCTATTTCTGGGCTCAGGATGTTGTTGGAGTCATTTTCAGAGTGGGGTCCCCCAAAGTCCTGCACGCACGCACGCACATACGCACACAAGAATGAATGGGATGGTGCCTTGATCTGAATAGCCCAGGCAAGCCCGATCTCATCAGATCCTGGAAGTTGAGCAGAGTCGACTCTGGCAAGAATTTGGATGGGGAGACCTCCTTGGAATACCAGCAGTCGGGAGGCGGGGGCAGGCTTTATCCAGCCACCTCTCTGAATATCCTCCAGGCCCCCAGTAGGGGTCAGTCACCAGAGGTCGCCAGGACTTTCAGGTGCACACACACATGAAAAGTACAAAAAAAAAACCAACCAAAAAAACCCAAGAATGAATGGGATGTTTATTTAGGAGAGATTTAATGCTTGAGACAGAGTACAATTCAAATTTGAGAATTTATTATTTTATCAATATAGGCAATCATTTGATGCTGTCTCTGTAGCCAAGGCTACAGCTTTAGTAACCAGCTTTTGTGCAAATGATAATCCCACTTTGTGTCCATATGGTGTATCTGAGCATGCAAAGTGTTCCACGTGCACTTTCTGAGCAGTCCTTGCCACTGCCCTTTGAGGTGGGTCACCCCTAAGGTTGGACCCTGTGGATCTGTTCTGCTAGCAGAGGCACTTTCCTCCAGGAAAAGTGTTCCCCTGATTCTGCATCAAGGAATGGCACCTTCTCCCAGAGGGGAGAGAGAGAGAGAGCTGGTGTGGGGTAGTGGTTAGAGTGTTGGGCTAGGATCTGGGACTCCAGACCAGGTTCGAATCCCCACTCTGCCATGGATGTTCGCTGGGTGACCTTTGGCCAGTCACACTCTCTCACACACATGTTGACCTACCTCTCAGGGTTGTTGTGAGGACAGACTGGAAGAGGTGAGCCAACAGGGTGCAAATGTCAAAATAGCAGGGTAGACATTATCAGCAGGATCTAGCACCCGACCTGCCACATGGGGATGGCTGAGCTCGCATTTGTCTTCCTTTTCGAAATCAATTGGTGCTGGGAATGGAAGGAAAGGTCTTGGGTTTGTTTTTGCCTTGCTTCACACGGAACTTCAGCAAGAGCCGTTATCAGTTTCTCTCCAAATCTGTCTGGTCTTATTTTTTTATCCTCATGCAGGTTTTATTACAACGTGGAGTCCTGCGGCTCCCTGCGCCCCGAGACCATCGTCCTCTCAGCCTTGTCTGGCTTGAAGAAGAAACTGAGCGACCTCCAGACCCAGCTGAGTCACGAGATCCAGAGTGACGTCCTGACTATCAACTGATTCTGGTCTCTCTTTTGGGGCAGCTGTCACGTAAACAGAGGCACTGTGAATAAGGAGACGGCTGACATCGCAGGGGTGGGGGTGGGGGAAGTGCTGATCCCCGAGTGCTGGAGCCACTTGCTTCCAGTCCCCTGAAGGAATACTCTGTGCATTGCCCCCTCCAGCCAAGCCTTTTCCAGCACTCTCTTAGGGAAGCTGCCATTCCCAAGCACAACGATCTCTTGTTCAGGCCGTTAAAAAGGAAGCCTGCCGCGTTCCCTCTGGGGGACATGCTGTCCTGGTCGAAGGGAGCCCGGGGGCTGAATGCAAAGCAGACCCCTCCCATGCCCACATACTTGTTTGTCCTCTGCCTTTCTCTGTTCTGGACTTCTGGGATAAACAGCCCCTACCTGGCAGCTGTCCGAATTATGTAACTGAAGTTTGTTAGTTACTTGTGTTTGTTGCTGTTTTGAATAAAAAACCTTTTCCCTGGCTGGCCATGTGTGAACAGTCATCTGGTGCCTCGGGGAGGAGATCTCGGAGCACCGATCGCTTTCCAGCTAACATTTAAGTTAATGAAGGCTGCTAATTGTCGTTTCGAGAATTTCCTTTTCGGCAGCTTTTTCTGACGGAGGAGGAGGTCTCCAAATCTCGGCACTGGCCATCAGAACCCAGACCATAGATGTGTATCTCCTAATACGAAAATCCAGTCGTTTGAGCCGGTCATAATACTTAAAAGTTTCTAGTTGTCACTGCTGCAGAGAGGGGAAAATACTGCAAAAGGGTTGTCATCCTGCAAGCCCAAGAGTTAGCCACTGAGTTCTGATGGGGATTCCAGTGGTCCTCTACTGCCTTTGTGGGGGTGGAAAGTGCCATCAAGTCACAGCTGACTTACGGTGACCCCTGTCGGGGTTTCAAGGGAAGAGGCGTTCAGAGGTCGTTTGCCACGGCCTGCCTCTGCATAAAGACTGTAGACTACCTTGATAGTTTCCCATCCAAATATTAACCGGGGTCAACTCTGCTTAGCTTTCAAAATCTGAAGAAATCAGGCTAGCCTGGACCATCACTGTCTTTCATACAAGTTTATTCGTACAAGGGAGCCAGCTTGGTGTAGTGGTTAAGAGCAGCGGACTCTAATCCAGAGAACAGGATTTGATTCCCCACTCCTCCGCATGCAGCTGCTGGTGTGACCTTGGGTCAGTCACAAGTTCTCTCAGAGCTCTCTCGGCCCCACCTACCTCACAAGGTGCCTGTTGTGGGGAGGGGAAGGGAAAGGCGATTGTAAGCCACTCCGAGACTCCTTCGGGTAGTGAAGGGCGGGGGATAAAACCAACACCTCCTCCTTCTCTTCCTCTTCCTCTTCTTGGAGGCAATGCAGGAGTTTCCAAGACTACGTTCTTCCCCTCTCATTTTGCTTCAAGAGTCCGGCTTAGATGTTGAGCAAGATTCAAGTCCAGCTGCACCTTAAAGACCAACAAGATTTTCAGGGTATGAACTTTTGAGACTCAGGGCTCCCTTTGTCGGGGACCTTGGAAACCTTGTTGGTCTCTCGGGTGCCGCTGGACTTGCCTCTTGCTCTTCTGCTGCAGACCAAAACGGCTGCCTGCCTGAAACAGGCTGAGTTGTCGTGCTGCACGGGAGTTTTGTGGAATGGCATGTTTCGACCTTGTGAGTCTTGCTTGAAGAGGTTTGGCATGGCGTAAAGTCCTTTTCCATAAGAAAAAGAAGACGGGTGTGCATACTATGGGTGGCTGCAGTGCAACTGCAGATCTTGGTAGCCGATTCAGAATTTCTGCCTCCTGCATTTCTGCTTTTCTCCCTATTTGTTACCATCCTGCTGTCAAGACAATGGAGTGATCCCTCCATTCATGAAGAAGAAGAGATTGGATTTATACCCCGCCCTTCACTCGAAGTCTCAGAGCAGCTTACAAACTCCTTTCCCTTCCCTTCCCCACATTAGACACCCTGTGGTAGGTGGGGCTGAGAGAGCTCCCTCAAGAACTGCTCTTTCAAGAACAGCTCTGACAGAACTATGGCTTGCCCAAATGTTCTGATTTGCTTTCTTGTCTAATAAAGGCAGCTTTTTATTTAACCACAAGGTCTAACATTGCTTCAGTCCATATCTCAGTGGGTGGACAAACTACTGCCTTCCCATTTCGAAGAACTATTCATTTAGGTATTGCCAAGGCTTACAGAATTCAGAACCTTTATCCTTTCGAGAGTTTCCAGGAAGAAGGAATGTACCCCAATACTGCAATAAGTGGATTAAGATCCAGGGGACACTGTACTGTAAAACAGACTTGTCTGTTAATATCTAACCCAAAATGTCATGATAATCTTTCCCCCCTCCAAAAAAGTAAGGTTTTGTTGGGGCAAAGTAGCATGCATTTGGTCAAAGAGTGTTTTGGATTTCCTTGGCTTGAAGATCAGGAATGGCCGATCCGCTTTCTTGAAACGGAGCTTACTAGATAGCTGCTATTTGTCTCGTGCACAATTGCAAGAGGATGCGTGCACTGACCCCATCAGGACAATACCTGGCCAGCATCCAGGTGAGATCTGAAACAATCCCAGAATCATCTGCAATGTCTGGGGGTTTTGTAGCAGACAAATCAGTGTGAAAAGGGTTTTCTGTAGCTGCAAAGCCTGGGGGGGAACCCTGTGATTTCAAGCAAACCACATTTTACTTGATGGTTTCTCGACCCTCAGTGAAGTGGAGTTAATGTGTTTGGGGGTGTGTGTTTTACCCTTGAAGATTGGAGGGGGGACTGACTCACTCTTGAGGCAGAGTCTTATACCTTGAAGCACAGGTCTTTTTAAGAATGAAAAAGGTTCCACAGCCTCTCAGGCTACACTTCCGCATACTTGTGAGACCAGATCGCTACAGCTTTTTCATCTCCAGATTTTTGTCTGATGGAAAAGATCAATTTCCCTTTTCCTCTCCCCCGAGAGCCATTTTTCACCAAAGAGCTTGGCGTAACTTAACCCTTTTGCAGGCCAGACAGTGTGGTGGATTGCCTAGACGGTCTGACGGGATGTTTTGTGCAACTGCACAGCCAGCCAGCCAGGCACGGATTGGAGACAGCCTGATGCTCGGGAAGGGCTATTTGATTTCCTCTGTTCCTTCCTAGGGTGGGCTGGAGAGGAGACAGCAGGGCTGGAACACCTTCTCCATTACCCGTCTGGAAACAAAACAGCTACAAGCAAACCACGTGTGTGAAATCCCTTCCTGTTAGTAAGAAGCTGAGAATATTTGTGACGTTTGACCTGCTCCCAGTTAACGTCCCGTCTTTTTAAAAGCCGTCCTCAAATCCAGAAAGGGATAAACATTCCCTATTTTGTGACTTTGCAGAGCTGTTTAAATTCCTGTCAACACTTTCGGTTCTCTGGTTCTTGGTGCCGGTTTTATAGATTGTTTTTTGTTTGGTATGCACGGCAGATATGGCTTTTAAATGTAATTTAGATAGCACTTTTACAGACGGTCTATAAAATACACATTGAGTAGATACATATAATTTGTGGGTGCAGATATTAAACTGTCTATGGCGAAAATGTGTGAGCAAACAAAACCATATGGAAGTAAAGAATCACAGGTTTGATTCACAGTAGGGAAAAGCAAAATGAATATCCTTTATCCCTGCTTTTTCGTGTGTGAGAGTATTCTGTGTCTGTTTGTGCGCACGCCTGGAAGTCATGGTTGACTTCAGGCACCCCCTAGTGGGGCTTCGATGTTTCAGAGAGGTAGCTTACTATTGCCTGCCTCTGTGTCCCAGCTCTGGTATTCCTTGGAGGTCTAAACAAGTACTTGGCAGAGTCGACCCTGCTTAGCTTCCAAGGTCTGACAAGACTGGGCTTGCCTGGGGTATCCAGGTCAGGGCAACAATGCTTTCGTCAATCTTCCCAGCATTCCATCACTCTTAAAGCCCAAATGCACCGCAGGTGGCCCCCCCCCCCCCCCCCCCGGCATCATAGTAAGGCATAGTTGAAAAGTATGCACGATCCAGTATCGTCTTCTCTGCATTTCCCTCTACTTGCTCTGTTCCATTGGCTCCTGCTTTTATGGGGGGGGGGGGAGTTAGCAAATTGCCTACGGTCATAGTGGCATTTCTGTGGAATGGTGAGCGGTAGCATGGGGGTTATTCAAATTCCTTTTCTGCCACGGAGATCCCTATGGATCTCCTTGGGTGAGTCGTAATTTACGGGTTATTGTGGGGATAAAATTACACATCCATATATGTGGTCCTGAGCTCCCTGGAGAATCAGTAGATCAGCCTTCATCCAGGGAATGAGGGACTGAAATCAAGAGACTAAACTGTTAATTTAGAAAAGAGCAAGAGTCCAGTTGCACCTCAAAGACTAACAATATTTGTGGCATGGTATGAACTTCCGTGAGTCACTGCCCACTTCTTCAGATCCGCCACATACTCTGCCACAAATTTGATTAGTCCTCAAGGTGCTACGGGACTGCTACTCTTTTCCGCTGCTACAGGCAGACTAACACAGCTGTTTTGATTTATACTCCACTTTTCTCCAAAATGAGCATACAAAGTGGCTTGCAATGTTCTGTTTTAACAACATCTTATGCTCACAACACCCCTCTGAAGTACGTTAGGCTGAGATTAGTGGCTTGCAATGTTCTGTTTTAACAACATTTTATGCTTACAACACCCCTCTGAAGTAGGTTAGGCTGAGACTACGTGATTGGCCCAAGGTCACCCAGCAAGCTTTCGTGGCAGAGTGGGGATTTCCCAGATCTTAGCCTGAGACTCTTAACCCACCACACACACAAGGTGAGAACAGGCTGAATTTATTACGCCCTGACTAGAACAGCCCAGGCTAGCCTGATCTCGGAAGCTAACAGCATCGGCTCTAGTAAGTATTTAGATGAGAAACGGCTAAGTAAGTCAAGGGTTGTGATGCAGAGGCAGGCAATGGCAAACCACCTCTAAATGTCTCTTGTCTGGAAAGCCCCACGGGGTTGCCAGAAGTCAGCTGTGACTTGACAGGCAAAAAAGCCATGTGTGGCAGAAGCAAAATTTGAACTAGGAGCCTCCAGAATCACAGCTTGTCCTCTTAGACGCCTGATGAGAAATGGGACTTCCAATTATAAACTCATTTTTTTTACAAAATAAAAAATTAAAGTTTCCAGAATCCACAGAAGAGAAGAGGTGGTAAAGCAGGCGAAAGCTGGAGGCTGAAGGCTAGCAGTATATTTCTTTTTTCTTAACAATACCCTTGAGTCTACACAATTACAAATTTTGCACCTAAGTACAAGAATCCACTTGTACTGAATTCCACACAGATCATAGTTCAAACAAAGAGGAAACGTGGTGGTAAAAGCTTGCAGGACTGTCCCATTTCAGACCACGGGTGGAGAGACCAAATGCTCATCCATATAAAGAATCCACTCAAGGAGAAAGCTAGGCCCGGGCTCCTCTAACAGACATCTAGTCTTTAATACACAGAGTGGTTTTATGAAGGGGCAGTCACTCATGCAAACATCCCCCACCATCACC